CAGAATTCCCCAGCCAGCGAATGCTGGCTGGGGAATTCTGGGAGTTGAAGTCCGGACATCTTCAAGTTGCCAAGGTTGAGAAACACTGGTCTATAATTTATGCAAGCAATACTTCTAAGGACAGGTAGTCCTTGAGTTATGACTGGTTGTTTAGCGATGGTTCGTAATTACAATGGACCTCCCCTAAAAGGTATTTATGTCCCAGTTGCGAGTTCTGATGGCCAGGCTGAAAATCGGTGTTTATTTCCAGCTTTTAGTAAAAATGCCGCATAGTAAACAATGGGTTCGCTTAACAACTGTCGTTTTTCCTCAATGATTGCGGTGTTCGCTTAACAACCATAGCATTTGCTTTATTGCCTTGCAAAAAAAAATGTCCAGTCACATGATGATTCACTTCATAACTGTTATGACTTTCAGCCATAATGGGCAGGCTGCATTGCGGTTGTGAGTCAAGGACTACCTGTACTAAGTTAAGATGCATTGGCTGCAAAGTCAAGAGATAAGACACCATAGTTCTTGTTTTCTGTTTCTCAATACACAAGTCAGCATGTGTTTCCGCCCTGTGCAAGTTAGGGAAGGTCAGGCCTTCCAGAAACCAGCTGGGACCCCGGGAAGCTTAACTCTGGTTGCCTGGATGAGACATGATTGAGATCAAATGCATTTGGATACTTATGAGCCATGCCACAATAGATCTCTTTGTTTTCTCTCTCTCCAAGGGGACATCACCATCCGCATTCTTCCTCCAGTGAAGACCGAAGGATTGAGCCCGGGTCATATCCCAGACTTAACAGACCGTGTGTGGGAGACCATCCTATCCAACTTCCATGAGATCTCAGGAGAGCCTGAGAAACAAGCAAGCATGGTGGTCAAGGAAGACACCAGACCAGACCCCAAGGCACTACTGAGGAACTACTAATTCAACTAAGGAACTAATTCAACCCCCACCCCCACCCCAAAATTAATTGCTTCTTCTTGGGCTTTTTGTGAATCTACCCATTTGTGGGTGGCCGTCTTGGGTGTCTTAACCTGTATGACTTGGACTTCTTGTGAGAAGAGAGCAATTTCCTTTGGGAGAAACCCGAGAGATCGTTGGGGAGCCCGTAAAAGTGGTTCTCCTCTTTCCCTTGGGTTCTTTGAGTCCTGCTTCCCTTTCCCAAACACTTTAAAGGGTAGAAAACTAAAATCAAAGAGAGCTCCATGCAGCGCAAACCGGAGTAGGCCGGCTGTGGCTTCCAAAACAGGTTTCTCGGCTACGTTGCTTCTAGAGCTAGAACTGGGGCCAGAACTGGGGAAGGCGGCAGCAGGCATTGTGAGGCAAGCGCCCGTTGCCACAGCAACTGGCATCTCCGATGCAAAAGGGACAGCTCGTCCCGAGCCAGAGACAGCCCGTTGGGAGGAAGAATTCACAATGTGATTGGGAAGCCAAACACGTGCCTCACGAATCCTCCCAAAGGCTGGAGCAGAGGAGGCCTGTCTCCTTAACTCAGAGATCTCCGCTTCTTTTGCACACAGGTAAATATGGCGCAGGAGGACCATTTCATCGGAGGCTTCCTTGACTCGCGTTGGCCATGCAGTGGGTTGTGTTACATAAACCGGGACATTGGATTAAATCATCATGGGGTTGACTGCTTTAGGGAACGGCCAATTTTGTCAGCATAGCCATTGTATTTTGTTAACTCAGTGAGTTGTGTGAATGCAGCCAGAGATGGTGGGGCTACAGGGTAATGCATCAGAGTTTTCCAGGGATAGTACAGTGTATGTTGGTGGGAAAGAAAATTTGAGGGAACTTTGTCAATTAACCGTGTCTTATTGTGGCTTTCCTAGTGGAAGACCAGATCCTGCGACAACACTAGCTATTTTTTTTTGCCTTGGTAGTCTAAAATAAATGTCATATATTATGGAATATTATGTATTTACTTTGAATATTGACCTACTGCAATAATTATATATCTCTAGCCAGTTTACAAATCAATTCCTGAAAAATATCGGTGCTGCAAAAAAAAAAATCAGTAAAATTTAATCAGGTAAGGAACAAAGGGTATCCTTTGTTTGGATAATCATATCCAAAGACTTGTCTAAAAAGACTATTTCCATCGTTTTCTGAAAGGGGATCAAAATGGGATTTGCCCAGATCTTTGCTGTGGGGTGGGGAGCATATTCTAAAGGTTAAAGTGTGGAGTATAAGAGAAATATTGTTTCCAGGTTCTGGCCTCTTCCACGGACACTCAAGGCTTCCTCCATATGTTTTGCTTGTCCAGAGAGTTTATAATAAACTCGAGTGACATTTTCATTTCCCTTTCTTTTTATTCTTAGCCAAACCCCCTCAATGGAATTCCATGCTCAGTTTATGCTCCCTTTGTACACAACACAACTTCTTTTCTGTTCTAGATTGTCAATGGTACCCCCCTATTAGCTTTGGTGTTGCAGCTTTCTGCTAATCTGTTGGTTTTTAGAAGAAAGTGGACAACCTTTTGTCTGAAATGGTATAGGGTCTCCTGCTTGAGCAGGGAGTTGGACTAGAAGACCTCCAGTGACGTGCGGTGAGGTTTATGGCTGGTGAGGCAGTCCTCTCCCCCGACATCCCACTGTCTAAAGCGCTTTCTTTCTTTCGCCCGCCTGAGTTCTGACAGGCGGGGAAAAGAAAGCGGCGGGCTGCCACTTTCTTTTGCCTGGCTGCTGCTTTCTTTTGCCCGTCTCTGTGTCNCTAATCATCTTTGTTGCTCTTCTCTGCACTCTTTCTAGAGTCTCTACATCTTTTCTACATCGTGACGACCAAAACTGAATGCAGTATCCCAAGTGTGGCCTTACCAAGGCATTATAAAGTGGTATTAAGACTTCATGTGATCTTGATTCTAGCCCTCTGTTTATGCATCCTAGAACTGTGTTGGCTCATATTTAAGGAATTGCCCACTAGGACTCCACCAAGATCCCTCTCACAGTTACTACTATTAAGCAAGGTGCCACATATACTGTACCTGCACATTTTGTTTTTCTTGCCTAAATGTAAAACTTTACTTTTTTCACCATTGAATTACATTTTGTTAGATAGCACCCAATGTTCTAGTCTGTCAGAATCCTTCTGTATCTTAAGCCTATCTTCTGGAGTGTTGGCTATTCCTGCCAGCTTGGTGTCATCTGCAAATTTGATGAGTTCCCCATCTATCCCTCGTCCAAATCATTAATGAAGATGGTGAAGAGTACTGGGTCTAAAACAGAGCCTTGGGGTACTCCACTGCATACTTCCCTCCATATAGATGCAACAGTTCCATTGAGGACTACGTGTTGAGTGTGGTTGATCAGCCAGTTACAAATCCATCTGGTGGTGATGCTGTCTAACCCACATTTTTCTACTTTATCTAGTTGTAGGTTATGGTCTACTTTATCAAATGCCTTACTGAAGTCCAAGTAAACTATATCGACCACATTCCTCTGGTCCACTAATTTTATCACTTTGTCAAAGAATGCAATAATATTAGTCTGGCAGGATCTGTTTTTGACAAACCCATGTTGGCTTTTGATTATTATTTTGTTTGCTTCTAAGTGTTCTCTGATTCATTGCTTGATTACCTTTTCCAGAATCTTCCCTGGTACTGAGGTGAGGCTAATAGGTCTGTAGTTTCCTGGATCTATTTTAATTCCTTTTTTGAAGACGGGAACCACATCAGCTCTTTTCCAGTCCTCTGGCAGTTCCCCAGTGCTCCAGGATCTCTGAAAGATATACCATATTTGTCGGACTATAAGACACATCCCCCCCCCAAAAAAGTGGGTGGAAATGTCTGTGCATCTTATAGACTGAATATGGGCCATTTCCCGAACTCTCCATGCATCCCATTTTCACCCTCCCCAGCCCCCAGAAGTACGCCACAGTGTTCTGCATGTCTCATTTCCACCAAAAAGTGGGTGCTTTTTTGGTCTCCCGAATCCTCCGCACATCCCATTTTTGCCCTTTCTGGCCCCCAGAATCAGTCTGCAGGCCAAACTCAGACTCATTTTTGGCAAAAACAGGCCCATTTTTGGTGAAAACAGGGCACGTGGAGGGTTTGGGAGACCAAAAATAGGCCTATTTTTAGCCTGCAAAGTGCTTTGTGGGGCCAGGAAGAATGAAAATGGGACGCACGAAGGCCAAAAATTATTTTTTTCTTGTTTTCCTCCTCTAAATCTAGGTGCGTCTTATAGGCTGGTGTGTCTTATAGGCTGAAAATATGGTAGTTCTGAGATCTCATCAGCCAGTTCTTTCAGAACCTTAGGGTGTAATCCATCTGGTCCTGGTGATTTGAACTCCTCTAGGGTAGACTTTAAGTGATTATCCAGTGTTAAACAGAGCAACAGGGAGAGTTGCTCAAATACAGTCAGGACAACGGAAGCAGAAAAGCAGAATTATAGGGAGAAGAGTAGAGTTACTTATTTGCTTGTTTTGTTTACTTTATTTGCAGCCCGCCTTTCCTCCAGAAACTCAAAATAACGCCCTTGTAGGTCCCACTTCATCTTATGTCCAAAGACATAATCCTAGGTTAGATTAGGCTGCAGTTGATTGAAATTGTGTGAGGTCATCCAGTGAGTTTTCATAAATGAGAGCTCTTAATTCAATAGCTTTACTATTAGGTCACATTAAGAGAACAAGGAAAAAAGCAGAACTGCTTGAGTACTATGTACAAGGACTAGCAATCTGAATCAGGTGGTTAAGCAGAAAAACCATTTGTAGAGATTGTTGCTGTTTCTGGATCATATGAAGCAACTCTGAAATTCTAGAGTTTCCCAATCTTGATAATCTACATGTATCTTCAATTCCCAGAATTCCATAACCAGCATAGTGATTGATGATAATTCTGGGAGTTGAAGTCCATTCACCTTCAATTTGGCAACTATAGGAAACACTGTTCTAGGGCAAATGGTGGCCCACAGTTTACAATCTGAAGTCCCCTGACAGTTCAGCCTGCCAACAAACAACCCAGGATGAGAAGTACAACTGAACGTTTGAGTTAATTCCTCGGACATGAGTATCTCAGAAGAACTGCCTACCAGGAAGAAAGAAATACGTTAGAATGAAACCTAGAATTGATCACATTTTCTAACGTAGATGGCTGGGGAATTCTCAGAGTTGAAGTCCTCACATCTTCAAGCAGCCAAGGTTGAGAAACACTGTTCTATAGCATAAAAATGTAAGAGGAAAAGACAGCAAAATAGTGTCAGACAATAATGACCAAATTGGGCAAATAGGACATTCTGGCTGTGCAGTATAAAAGTCATCTGGATGATCTCACTTAGCCTAGGTTCCTTCATAGGATTGTTAGGAAGGTGATGTTGAGAAAGGGCAAAACATGAATGTGATTGTTCATATTTATCCTCCTTGCCTTAGCATATACAATTGTGTCACTGGCTGAAGATCGCACACGTTTCATGGAAGAGTGCAATTCTGGACACGTCTTATTTGAATTAGCTCTAGCAACTTCCTCACCTTCTTTTCCTCAACCCTTTTAATGTTTCTGAAATAAATCTGTTCTCATTCTTTGTTTCAGAGTTCTGCGTTTCACCATGCTACCCTTGAAATTCCTTTATGGCATTAAGATTAAAGTGCAGGGAGCCACAAACTTAAATCTGAAAGGGCCTTATGTCATCATCTCTAATCTGCAGTGCTCCATGGACTTGCTGGGTGAGTTTGTTGATCTTTTGGTGCATACCACGTTGGGAGGGCCCTGAAAATATGTCTTGAAATAGGAATAACTTATCTCCATCTTTATCCATGTGAGATTAACTTGAGGAAAGGTGATCCCACAAAGAATAATCTCATGCACAAAAAGGTGGATCTGCAAAAAATGTGTCCATTTCATCATTTAATTTTATTGATCCTTTCATGTTGTATTTTTTGAACTTCATATTTTGCTTGCATTGTTTAGGCACACTGTGTGCTAGCCAGAGTAGAAATGTGGCATGGAACTTAACTAAATTAAAAGCAGAAAAAACAATAATAGTAGCAACAGTAGGATGGTAAATGGTAGTGATGGGTCTAACTGCATTTCCCCTTGAATAATGGGTGAATACACACAATATTTAAAACATTATTATTTACTGTGTTTAAAGATGGACAATGTGTAGCATTTGGGAAGAAAATAGGACTGAATTTGTCCGAAATATATTTTATTCACTTGTGCAACTGACTATTTTTCGTCATCTCTGGTAGAAAATAAAATGGTTTCAGAATTCTTCCAAAAGACAGTTAATATTTCATGACGAGTATGAGTATTTTGCCTATCTTTCCTTGTGCCCTCTTCTTTGCAGTCCCTGGGCTTTTCATGCTTCACATGAAAACAGGAGAGAACAGCAGGAGGCTATCCTCTCCTAATCCTTTTCCAGATCAAGAAGCATGAACATCTAGAGAACAAACTGATGCACCTCCCTAGAATCAGCTTTCCATATCTGCAAACAACAAAGCAGAAGGATCTATATTCTGTGGAGAAAGATAGATGGGCTCTGTCAGGGGAAGGAGGAGAGCTTCTGCTGCAGTTCTTAGCACCAGATATTTTCTGCATGGGAGACCAGTGTTTCTCAATCTTGGCAACTCTAAGATACATGGACTTCAACTCCCAGAATCCTGGGAGTTGAAGTCCACACATCTTAAGAGTTGAAAGAATTGAGAAACATTGACTTATATAATCATACCATAATCCATGTATGGTTTCCTAAACACAAAATAATCAACAGAGTGCTGAGAAACAAGATTGTGTTTGTCCCAATTGCTTTCCTTCCAGAAGCTCACACCCAGTACATGCAGGAAATTCCACTTTTCCTTAAAGGAACCTGAAATTAGCTTTCCTCACTGTTAACTTCCACATTCCACATTTGGGAAACATTGCCCAGAAATGTTCCTGTAACCCAGTATCACTCTTTTGAAATTCAAATCACACCAACAGGCATGTTAATCTAGGTCTGCTCACTCCATCTGATGCTAATCCCGCCCTAACTACATTCCACAATGGGGGGCTGGGGGCTGGGGGAAGGGGTGAAATTCAGCAGGTTATGGAGAACCAGTAGCGGAAATTTTGAGAATTGGCAAGTAACACCTCTGGCTGGCCCCAGAGTGAGGTGGAATGGAGATTATAAGGTATCCTTCCCCTGGAGTGGGGAGGGAATGGGGATTTAGCAGTATCCTTTCCCTGGAGTGGGGACCAAATCACGCCCACAAAACCAGTAGTAAAAAAAAGTTAATTTCAGCTTTGGCTGGGTGGGTAGGTGGCAAGAACCAACAATTGACCTTCTTCTGATCCTTTTCTTCTTCTGCAAAAAAAACTCCAGGGATTTTTCAAATCTTGCCCAAGCAATGTACCCTTTTCATCAAGAAAGAAGTCCTGTATATGCTTACCGTTGGTGCTGTCCTGTGGCTATGTGGTTTCATTTTCATTGACCATAAAAAGGAAGCAGAAGCAGTTGAGATAATGTCAGCAACTGGAGACACCATGCTCCGGGACCATGTGAGTAGGGGAGGACAGCAATACATAGCCACTGCATTGCTTCCTGTATTCATGGAATCATAGAGTTGGAAGGGACCTTGGAGGCCTTCTATCTAGTCCAACTCTCTACCCAAGGCAGGAGTCCTGATACCTGGGGAAACTATTGGTTCTTCTAACAGCCCAAAGATAACCTTCCCCAAGAAGATGCGCAACGGATATTACACAGTGCATTACATATTGTGTGATATTCGCTGAATATGAATTAGCACAGAGAAACATTGTGTTAGGTGCTATTTGGATACTACTGGCTGTGCCGTGTAAGTAGGAATCACAATTACTGGATGAAACTAGACTCTCGTGACTAATAAACATTCAATTTTATGGAAAGTTTACTTATGGAATAAGGCACTTTTGCATAACGATGCAGTAAAACTAACATCCTAAATGCAGTTAAGTGGAAACATCCACTCTTCTATCAGCACAAAATATAATATATGTTGATGGAAGATAAGAATTGGACAAAGTAAAAAGAATAACATGGAGAAGCATGAATGTTAATCCTATTGCTTATTTCCAATACCTGTGTGTTTCTCTGTGCTAATTGCTAGCTTGTTCAAGGTTCAAGGTTCAAGGTTTATTACACTTGTATGCCGCCCTATTCCCAGAGGCACTCAGGGCGGCTAACAAACCAAAAGGGAAGGGAATAATACAGAAAAAAGCAAAAGGCAAACAAACAAAATACGGAAACAATTT